ACAGAAATAAACAAAGAAGAAATTAAATTGGGGAAACGACAGAAACAAGAGAAAGAAAAGGAAAAGAAATCGTACCTGAAGAGATGGGGTGGGGGTGGCGGAGGAAGGGCACTGCGATCGAAGAGCATGAAGGAAGAAATAGGGGTCGCCGGGGCAGAAGGATGGAGAAGAAAAGGCCAATTCAAAGGAAGAGAAAACAGTGATGCAAGCGAAGAAGAAGAAGAGATGAGTAAACACAGGAGAAGCCATGGATGAAGAACAGTGGGGAAAGGGAAATTGAATAGAAAAGTGAAGCAAGAAGAAGGTTGCTGTGCTTGCTCCTGCTTCTGCTTGGCGTTGTGTGTTGTCGGCTGTCTGTGGCTTACGCTGTTTCCACGCCTTCCCTTCTTTCCCTTCTCCCTTTTCCACTTTTAATTCTCTTCTTCTTCTTTCTTTTTATTCTTGTAAGAATGGAATAAGCTTCCATATCCATCAAAATCAAAGTTAGATTTCAAGACAATGTTGATACTTATTCGGAAAGAGTTATTCTTGTGAAATTATGGAGCAAAATGAAAAGTCACGAACAACGAGTTGGACAAAATATAAAATTGGAAATGGAAATTGAAATTGAAAATGAAAATATGAATTTATAAAATAAAAAAAACAATTTCTCTCCAATTTCTCTCTAATTTCTCTTGGAAATTTAACAAAGTTTTCCACCAAAATCCACTTGAATTCTCACTACCATTATCCATGAATTGCCACTATTTATAGGCAATTTATAAAACCATGAGATGTTACATCTGAACACTAATAATAGATAGAAAATAGACACATGAAATATTGAGAATTAAGCACCTGGATATGGGTCAAGTTGACACTTGGAGACACTAAGCAAATGGAAGAAATTGACACATGGGGTTAGGGGTATTTAGACATCTCATATTTTGACACCTCGATTGGGCATCTAATTTGGATAATGTTCATAATACTCCCCCTTAGATGCCCATTAATTATATGAAATATGTCTCGTTAAAACCTTACTAGGAAAAAAATCCAGTGGGAAAAAAAACTTAGTGAAGGAAAAAGAGTACATCTCATATAATCTAACAAACTCAAAAGAATATAATAAATTATGCTCCCCTCATAGAACATCACTTGAGATCTCTAAACCGCCATGTTCCAATGTCGTGTACCAATCTTTCAAAGGTTGCAGTAGGTAACGCCTTTGTAAATAAATCTACCAGGTTATCCTTCGAACAAATTTGTTGAACATTAATGTTGTCATTTTCTTGATCATGAGTGTAGAGGAGCTTAGATGAGATATGTTTTGTTCTATCCCGTTTAATATATCCTCTTTTAATTTGGGCTATACATGTTGTGTTATCTTCGTATAATATCGTTGGAAGATTATTAAGAGACAAGCCACATGTTCCACGAATGTGTTGAGTCATTGATCTCAGCCATACACATTCTCGACTAGTCTCATGAATTGCAAGAATTTCAGCATGATTTGAGGAGGTAGCTGTTATGGTCTGTTTTACTAATCACCGTGATACAGCAGTTCCTCCACATGTGAGCAAATAACCTGTTTGAGATCTAGCTTTAGGTGGATTAGATAAATATTCGGTATCTGCATAACCAACTAGATCAAAATTTGATTTATTTGAATAAAACAAGCTCATATCAGTCATTCCTCGAAGATAGCGGAATATGCGCTTAACTCCATTCCAATGTCTTTTTGTTAGAGAAGAACTATATCTCACTAATAAATTAATTGAGAATGCTATGTATGGTCTTGTATTATTAGTAAGATACATAAGTACATCAGTTGCACTAAGATATGGTACTTCATGACCAAGAATTTCTTCATTATCTTCTCGAGGTCGAAAATATATCTTTCTTCACATCAAGTGAACGAACTTCCATTGGAATGTTCAATGGAGGTGCTTTGTCCATATAAAATCTTAAAACTTTTGATGTATAAGTTGATTGATGCACAAATATCGCATCTGCTAAATGTTCAATCTGCAAGCCAAGACAAAATTTTGTTTTTCCAAGATCCTTCATTTCAAATTCTTTCTTAAGATATTCTATTGCCTTTGAAAGCTCTTCAGAAGTTCCAATTATATTCAAGTGATCAACATACACAGTTATAATAGTAAATCATGACTGTGATTTCTTTATAAAAACATACGGACAAATTGGATTATTTTGATATTATTCCTTCAACAAATATCCACTCAGGCGATTGTACCAAATTCGTCCTGATTGTTTTAATTCATGTAATGATCTCTGTAACTTTATTGAATACAGTTCTTGAGAACTTTGATTATATGTTCCAGGTACCTTAAATCCTTCAAGGATATATATATATATCATTATCAAGAGATCCACATAAATATGTTGTGACTACATCCATAAGATGCATGTCAAGATTTTCAAAAACAGTCAGGCCAATTAAATATCTTAGTGTAATTGCATCCACCACTGGAGAATATGTATCCTCATATTCAATATCAGATCTTTGTGAAAAACCTTGTGCAACCAGTCTTGCTTTATATGGTGTGACCTCATTGTTTTCATTTCTTTTTTCTTACAAATACACATTTGTATCCCACAAGCTTAACGCCTTTTGGTGTTATGACTACTGGTCTAAAGACTTGATGTTTTGAAAGTGAGTTTAATTCTGCCTGGATTGCTTCTTTCCACTTAAGCCAATCCTTTCTTTGTTGACATTCTTTGATAGATTTTGGTTCAGAATCTTCACTTTCGGATATAATGTCAAGAGCTACTTTATAAGCAAAAATGTTGTCAATAACTGCATGAGTTCGGTTCCATCTTTTCCCTATCATGATGTAATTTATTGAAATCTCATTATTATCTTCAGGTACTTGACATTCCTCGGTATTTTCATGAGTAGTCATGTTTAGGTTTTCTTTTAGAATATCTATATTCTCAATCGAGTCATTTTGATTATTAATTACTTTTCTCTTTCGAGGACTTTTATCTTTAGAACTTATTGGTCTCCCACGCTTCTGGTGTGTCGCAGACTTATTAATGACAACTTGTTGTATTGGGATATCAATTTTTGATGGAGCATTTGCAGCCAGAATATATGACTTAGTCACTTTCTTAGCATCTATAAATGCATCTGGTAATTGATTTGCTATATTTTGAAAATGGATTATCTTCTGAACTTCAAGTTCACTTTGATCTGTACGGGGATCTAAATGAGACAATAAAGATGCATTCCATGTAATTTCTTTTTCCAACTTCTTAATTCCTCCCCCTAATGTTGGAAAATTTGTCTCCTTAAAATGACAATCAGCAAATCGAGCAGTAAATACATCACATGTCAAGGGCTCAAGATATTTAATGATTGATGGGGAATCAAAACCAACATATATTCCTAATCGTCTTTGAGGTCACATCTTAGTACGTTGTGGTGGAGCAATGGGAACGTATACTGCACATCCAAAAATTCTCAGATGGGAAATATTCGGCTTTTGACCATAAGCTAATTGTAATGGAGAATATTTATGATAGGCTGTTGGCCTAATACGTGCAAGTGATGTTGCATGCAAAATAGCATGTCTCCATACAAATGTAGAAAGCTTGACTCTCATAAACATTGGTCTAGCAATTAACTGCAGTCATTTTATAAATGATTCGGCTAAACCATTTTGTGTATGAACATGAGGTACAGGATGTTCAACACTTATCCCAATTGCCATACAATAATTATTAAATTATTGGGATGTAAATTCACCAGCATTATCAAGACAAATGCTTTTAATTGTATAATCAGGAAATTGTGCTCGTAACTTAATTATCTGAGCAAGTAATCTTGCAAATGCAAGGTTTCGACTTGATAATAAGCATACATGTGATCATCTACTCGATGCATCTATTAACATCATAAAATATCTAAAGGGTCCGCTAGATTAATTGGTCCACATATCACCATGAATTCGTTCTAAAAGTGTAGGCGATTCTGTCCCTATTTTAGTTGGTGATGATCTAATGATTAATTTACCTTGAGAGCAAGCATCACATGACAATTCATTAGATTGAAAAATCTTCTGGTTTTTCAATGGATGTCCATGTGAATTCTCAATAATTCTTCTCATCATTATGAACTCTGGATGACCCAATCGGTCATGCCAAATAGTAAATATATCTGGATTTATGAACTTCAGGTTCATTGTTGCATATGTTTCAATTACTCGTATATGAGTATAATATAATCCAAAAGATAAAGCAAGTAGCTTTTCCAGTATATGTTTGCCATGTGAGACAATAAATATAATATAGAGATATTCTATATTATTCTTGTTATCAGTCTCAATATCATAATCATTGCAATGTATATCTTTAAAACTCAATAGATTTCTCTTTGATTAACTAGAGAATAATGCATTATCAATTGTAAACTTTGTTCCTCTAGGCAAAATAATATTTGTTTTTCCAAAACCTTCAATCAAGTTTGTAGAACTTGATATTGTATTGACTTTTGCTTCTAGCATTGTTAATTTGGAAAAATATTTTCTACTTTTCAGTATTTTGTGCGTAGTTGTACTACCTGCCAAACACAGATCTCTATTGCTCATTTTCGAGTCATCCAATATATGAAAACTGTCCTTAATTCTTCATTAAAAAAAATAATTACAATAAGAAGAAGAGAAGAAAAAACTTGAAATACAAAAATCCAACCTTAGTTAACATAAACATGAAAGATAGATGAAAGAATTCAAAATCAAATGAAACATTTGCTATTTCATCCATCATGCCAATTTGTTCTCCAGAAGTTTAAAGAAAATCTGTCACATCCAAATTAATTAGGTTGGCGGGATCAAGTATATGACCATTATGATATGCAAGGTTTACCTCCACATTTTTTTCCCTTTTCTTTTAGGGAAGCCTGATAGAGATCTATCAAGTGTTTCGACGTACGACAAATACATGCCCAATGATCAGTCATTCCACATCGAAAACATTTATGTTCAACATTTCTAGAACTCTGATCCAGTGGATCTTTTCCTTTATGATCATTATTTCGTGTGGTTGTTTTGAAATTTGGATGATTATAACGACTACCACGAAAAGAATGATTATTTCTTCCTCTACCGCGGTCACGCCCTCGACCACGGCCTCAACCTCAACCATGATTACTAAAATTCACAATATTTGTTTCAGGGAATGGTGTTGTTCCCGTTGGTCGAGATTCATGATTTTTCATCAACAACTCATTATTTTGCTCAGCAACAAAAAGACATGATATGAGCTCAAAATATTTCTTAAAACATTTCTCTCGATATTATTGTTGCAAGAGCATATTCGAGACATGAAAGGTAGAGAATGTCTTCTCGAGCATATCTCTATCAATAATTTTTTCTCCACATAACTTCAATTTCGAACTGATTTTAAATAATGCAGAATTATAATCACTTACTAATTTGAAATCTTGAAGCCTCAAATGCATCCATTCGTATCGAGCTTGAGGAAGAATAACTGTTTTCTGATGATCATATCTCTTTTTCAAATTTTGTCATAATACACGAGAACCTTTTATTGTCAGATATTCCATCTTCAATCCCTTGTGGAGATGGTGACGAAGGAAAATCATGGCTTTTGCCTTATTTTGACTCATCGTTGTATTTCCTTATTTGATGGTTTCTCCCAGATTCATAGCATCGAGATGAATCTCAGCATCCAGTACTCATGACAAATAATTATTGTCATTGATGTCAAGCGCAGTAAACTCTAATTTGGTGAGATTTGTCATTGTAACACTATCACAAAGAAAAAATATCTGTATATTAGAAATTTGATATATACTAAGCATGAAAATAAAAAGAAAATCAAATAACCTACCTTTTAGAACCTATATTTAGGACCTACCTTTAAAGGGAAAAATGGCAGAGAGTCGTGCTGATAATGTCTTGTAAAATTATGGAGCAAAATGAGACATCACAAGTCATGAACAACGAGAAATACGAGATTGGACAAAATATAAAATTGGAAATGGAAATTGAAATTGAAAATGAAAATATAAATTTAGAAAATAAAAAAACAATTTCTCTTCAATTTCTCTCTAATTTCTCTTGGAAATTTAACAAAGTTTTCCACCAAAATCCACTCAAATTCTCATTACCATTATCCATGAATTGTCACTAGGCAATTTATATAACCATGAGGTGTTACATCTGGACACTAATAATAGATAGAAAATAGACACATGAAATTTGAGAATTAAGCACATGGATATTGGTCAACTTGACACTTGGAGACACTAAAGAAATGGAAAAATTTGACACATGCGGTTAGAGTTATTTAGACATCCCATATTTTGTCACCTAGGTTGGGCATCTAATTTGGATAATGTTCATAATAGTCATAATATTTTGGTTTTTGGGCTGACTAACTTTTAGGAAGGGATATTATTTTTTATCTACTTTTTTCAAAATTTATATTTTTAATCTTTGTTGACATCATCGTGAATAACAAATGACCATCACTACCCTCCACTGAATTTTTAGATTTTTATCTCTTATTTGAAAACAATACATTTTCTCTCTCCGTCCTCTCACTCTCATCTCTCTTTTTTCTCCTTCCATTTTTTCTCTCCACCATCTCCCTTCTTCTTCTCTTTTTTTTTTTTCGCTTGGGTTTTACAAAACACCCATTTCATTTTTTTCGTTTGGGTTATACATAATCTTCCACCTTCTTCTCTTTTTTCGCTTGAGTTTTACCAAAAAACTCCCATTTCAAAATCTTCCATCTTCTCATTTTTTTCACTTGGGTTTTACGAAAAAACACCCCTTTAAGATCTTTCATCGCTGAAGAAGCGATTTCCAGATCTCGCTTCGGTGCTCTCTCGCTGTCTCTCGCTCTAGGCCATTTTTTTTCGTTTACGTAATATAGGGGGAAAGATACAATTCAGAATTTTTTTTAATTAAATTTTAAATTTGATACTTTAGGGATGAAACAAAGTGAATTAAATTTTAAATTTGAAATCCAATCGTGACTAAAATTAGGAGATTAAAGGAGAGATTTATTTCCTATTTCAAATTATTAGTTCAATTAATTAAGGAAGAAAAAAAATTAAACAAATTTGGATTGAATTTCAAATTTGAATATGAATACACTGAAATTAAGGAGATTGAGGAGAGATTCAGATTTTGTTTACCTTAATTCCAATTTTCAAATTTTTAATTAAAAATCTTTAATCTCTAAATTATTTGTTAATCATTTTGAATTTGATTTTGACCAAATTGTTTCGAATTTTATTTATTTACTTTCTATTGATTTAATTTTGTTTATGATTTTATTTAAATTAACCAAATTTTATTATTATTACTATTACTATTTAGATAAACGACATTTTTGATGGAACTCTTAGACATGCCCAGCGGAAGCTAAGGATCATAATACACTTAATGAAGCAATTTAACTAAAATAAGCATGCTTGAAAAAATGATTAAAAAGGTAAAGAGAAAGAGATTAACTTTATACCTTTGACGACCTCCATTATAACTTCTTTTCCTGACTCAATGGGACCACCAACGACAAATTCGTGCTATCCTCGGGTTGATGAACACGGTTGTGGGCCGAATTTTGAGTGAAAACAAAGGGAAAACACTAATGGCTAGGAGAAGACAATAGAAATTTGAGTGGAAAAATTCTACACTTATACAAAGAAGCATTAGCCTTATCCAAGTGATCTTCATCACCTATATAAAGACCAAATGCATGCAAAGACAAGCCTTGCATGCCTTCCACTTCAAACTCCACTAGCATGTAAAAGATAGGTGTCATTGCCTTGAAGAAACACTTCAAAAACCACTAGTTAGTGGGAAAACTAACTTGATTTTTTAAATAAAACTTTGATAAAACTAATTTTTATAAAAACAAAAATTGAAATATCAATTTTCTATTAAAACAAAAACCAAGCCAAATAAATATCTCATATTAATTGGTCTTTGACACCTAAGTTTGATTAATCACATTAATCAAATTACAACTCTTTTTCATGCTTTGAACTTATTTAAAACTAATTTAAATAAGTCATACTCTCCATAATAATTAAATGTCAATTAGATTATATATTATATCTCATATAAAATACAATATTCCCTTAAAAACCGAATTTGAACACTTCAAATTCGGTTTTTAAGGGAATATTGTATTTTATATGAGATATAATATATAATCTAATTGACATTTAATTATTATGGAGAGTATGACTTATTTAAATTAGTTTCTTCAAATTCTTGCTTCACCAAGTTCATCAATTTTATCCTTTATGAGCTAGCATGGAGACCCGTTGGACCTATAGATCATGGGCTCCAACGATTCGAGACTAACTGGTCAAACTCTTTAACTTAGTTAATCAACATTCGTTAACTAACAGGACTGTCCACTATAGCCTGTAGATGCACTCCCCTCACTGTAGATATATTTGTGTCCATTCGATATAACCGTCATCGGTAAGTTGATCCTTCACAGACCGTTTGTAACCTCAGCTAGGTAAAAAAAACTGTTTTACCCCTGAGTTACATCTTTTCTCCTTAAGTACAACTATCCCTCTAATGAACAATTGATTTAGGATCAAATCACTAAATCCAATTCCTCTCGGGCCAATGAGAGGATGAGGTCCCTTGTTCAAGACCCGGGATCAACCCTTAAGGGAACACCCTCTCTACTATCCGTAAATCGGGTAGGAGTGAATTCCGTCTTGCTAATTCTATGTCCCCAGCTATCTACTCAGTCTTATCCCTGAAATGGGAGGCATATTGAGCAGCGCTGATAAGCTTACTCTCACCTATGCAGATCAAGGGAGAATCCTGAATACATAGGAGTTCATAGATGGCTCAGGATTTAGATCAAGTTATTTAGGTCATCGATAAACGAAATTAATCAGTGTTATCCGTAAACGGTGTTAATACATAACAGTGATTATTTTAGGGTCAGTCTTACACAATCTCATTGTGTAGAACACCCCCGCTCACATGTTTCTACACGAACGAATCAGGATCACTTCGTTTATGACACCTTACAACATTTGTAACAATCATAAAGCGGGCCGTATTCAATAGTGTCTCCAAGAAAAAGTACCCAACTTGATCCATGTACTATAGACTGTTTAGGCTATTTACTTGAACTTGATCCAGTTTATGTCTCCATATAAAGTCCAAGTACTCATTATAATAGCCAAGGGTTCGTAGTTTATTGGATTTATTAAAAAACAAATTCACTTTCATTTAACAACATTTATCTGAATAACCTCACATTAATGTTCACTGTTTACAAACTACGAGTTTTAGGACAGAGTACCCAACAATTTTATTTCAAAATATTTGAAATTATTCACTTTATAAATTGATAAATATTCATTCAAAATTAATTCAATAATTTAGAAAATTTATTCATTCTATAAATATATTTTTAAGGAATTAAATTAAATTCTCTCTCCCTCTCGTTTCCCCCTTTCGTTCTCCCCCTCCACC